GGACTCAAGCAGGGTAGATAAGAAGGCAGCTTGCTTTTGGAGTCAGTCAGATTCTTTGCAATTTATCAAACTTCCCGGGGCTGGGGAGCTAAAAGGGCAGCTTAGTGAAGGCCATGGGTTTTTGTCTCCAGGACAAGAGGAGGGATGAGGGCACAGGCCTTGCTTACGTTGATTCGCATTCCCCTTGTACCGTTTGGACCACAGTGTAGATAAATATTCAACAGAACTTGAAAAATGCTATGAATAACTTCCAACGTGGTACTGCCAAAACCAATCCATCATGTCTAGCTGGCTACTCTCTGCGCAACTCCCTCTTGCCTTACGGATCTCCCAGGATTGCAGGACACATTTCCCAGGCTAAAAGCCTCAGGACTCTTCAAACTTTCCTTGTCTCTGCTTACCGCTGACAACCAGCTGGCAGCCCTGCCTGGGAGTCTACAGAGTCACACTCATCAGAGGATACCTTTCCTTCAACGTCAGCATCCTGCTCACACTTACTAGAGAAGCCCTTCACGGCACAAATGCAGCAGGCATCTTCATCAACTTCCTATTTCTTGGACCGGACACAGAATCTGGTGCGTGCAAATCATGCTAAGATCCAGGACAACTAGAAATCCACCGCTCCAATGGACAGTATGATGCCACAGAAGTTCAAGGAGGCTCAACCCATCTTCCAAATGTGGCCCCAAATATCAGAATTAAAAGTCTTCATCAGACCCATCCTGCCATCCTATACAACAGGTGAATTAACTCCATGTCCATTAAGTTGAGACCCAGAACCCACTGGCTCCCTCCTGGGAACACACAGTAAAGGCTAGAAGTGATAGGGTCTTGTGATAACTTGATTCTGATGTAAAGCATCTGATGATGACTTGCCCCCATCTCAGTCCAGGACCACATTCTCCAAGGAGGGGTAGGTGTGGTAAGAAGCATGCAGGGGACATATGAGGTGGCAGCCAAATAATGGCAGGTGCCAGGTAGATGTCTACATTCTCCATTTTTCCCAGACCCAGTGTGCTGAGGTTCATCATGCCAGAAGATTCCTGGGGCTGTCCCCAAACATCTAGGACATACCATGTCATTGCAGAACCCTGGAAACACTTAATCAGTGTTGATTGTGGAGTGAACCTCTGCTGGGCTGGGAGCCAGCTGCAGCCGGGAACAAGAGTAAGTTCAGAGCCACAAGAGACTCCACTAGCTACCCCATGGAGTTATTCTTTTTATTATGCTCACAATAAGAAACCCTGGATTGCATGCAATCACTCTGCACGCTGCTGAAAAACACAAATGATGACTAAGTTTTGGGCATGTAGCAGGTGCTGGGTGGCTTCTAGGGAGTGAAAGGATGGCATCTCTGTGGCTGCCATTGATTTTGATGAAACCGGCTTGGTGATTGGCTCTGGATCTCAGCCCATGAGCATACTCTCCAAGGAAGGTAAGTATTAGCTCATCTATGTCTATGCATGTGCTTAGGGTGCAGATGACACAGTCAAAAGCAGGGCATGTGAGATGACATTCTTTATCCACAACCATTCCCATGTAGATCCAGTCAGCAGGACTTGGCAGTTTAATTTTTATTTCACATGTTTAGGTGTTTCGCTTATATGTGTGGCTGTGCTATATGCATGCCTGGTGAGTCAGATTCCTTGCGACTGGAGTTACAGGTGGTTGTGAGGCACCATGTGGGTGCTGGGACTCAAGCCTGTGCCATCTGGAAGAGTAGCCAGTGCTCGTAACCACGAAGCTATCTCTCTAGTCCCAGGACTTCGCAGTTTAAATGTCATGGAATGGAACCACAGTCTTTGTCAAGTGCCTTTTAGGAATTTAAGTCAATCAGATACAGATTCTCACATGGCTATAATATACACAACTTCTGGAAATAGGGGACAGTGTTAGGTTTCATACTCTAATTTCTCACATTCGTTCTTTCCCCCTCTTTGGCCAGTTTGCTGTCCACACAGACCCACAAGCAGCGCCCTCCTTCCCACGCATAAGGTGGCTGCTCGTCCATCCATTACAGAGAAGGGAGCATCTTGCATGAAAGGATAAAAGGGCAGGGAGCAAGTAGCACAAACTCAGGAAGCATGATCTAAAACAGGCCTGTCTGTCGAGTTTCCCTGAGCCTGAAAACTATGCGTTCAAATGATAGCCCCCTTAGACCAAAATATGGCTCAAGCTGGAATAATACGCAATAGTCAGCTTCTAAGACTTGAAAACTGCCTTGTCTACAGCTCCCCACTCTCCCAGTGCAGCAGCCAGGTTAGGCACTACTTGGTAGAGAGAACATCTATTACCACAGTTTGCACTTTAAAAAAAAATGATGCAATAAACTCAGTTGTTTAATTTCCAAACATGAACTCATTGCTATCACAGGAAATATCACTTTACTCTTTAGATTAAATGTTATCCCAAGTCCAGGAGGCATTCAACAGCAAGAAAGTAATGTACTTTAACTGGCTTCCCTAGACTCAAATTTCACCTAAACAAGTTTTATACAAAGATTAGCCAAGAACCAGGTAATAGGATACCACAGGGTTACGTCATCTGCGGCCCATTTCCAAAGAAGCATGGCTTTTCCAGGCGCAATTCTAAGCGCTGGCTCTTCTTTTTGCACCTCTCGGAGGGTGAGTAATGGCAGGTGCGTGGAGGGTGGTCATAAACAAGAGGCCCTGGGCTGGCCCCTCTCTGAAGTGCGTGGCTGGGGCTCCTTGTTGCAGGGCCTCTTCCTGACTGTAATGACATTCCAGGATTCTCAGTCCTGGACTCTACTCTCCATTCTGGCTATGGAAACAGGAGAATTGCCTGGACTAGGGTGATCAGCAGAAACAAGACAGCCCCTGCCTCAATAGGTAGGAGAGAACTAACACCCCAAAGTTGTTCTCTGATCTGCACACACTTGCATACATATCATATATATGACACACACATCATATATACACAACACCAATGGATTTGTTAAGAGAGAAAACAGATAAGTATACAGACAGGTCTTAAAGAACAGCACGAGTCCAGAAGACCTCTGCTGGCTTTGCCAGCTGGAATGAATAGCTTCTGTCTGGAAGCAGCACAGACGAATAGAGACAGTTAAAACAATCCACAGAAGGCCTTGAATGCCACGGACAAGCAAGGCATCATCCCCAACAAGCTCAGCTGCACTGATGATTTTTGGCTGGGGATGGCACTGTTGTCTGTTAAGTTCGGAACCCTGAAACTTCACCTGGGTAACAACACCATCTGTGCCTCACCCCCCAGTATTATGACAGGATGGAGTTAGCAGTTTCAGGAGCAAGGACAAGTCTCTCCTACCTCCCAGGCTTTCCAAGTATCTCCAGTACACCTGTCTAGTTACCCTGCTTAAGCAGACCAGTATCATCTCAGCATGACCCCCGCTCCACAGCATCCTGGGTAGCTGATCCATATCACCTCATCCTTACCCCCATCCCACAGCATCCTGGGTAGCTGATCCATATCACCTCATCCTTACCCCCATCCCACAGCATCCTGGGTAGCAGACCCATATCACCCCACAGCATCCTGGGTAGCAGATCCACATCACCTCATTCTGACTCCCACCCTACAGCATCCTGGGTAGCAGACCCATATCACCCCCACAACATCCTGGGTAGCTGGCTGGGCACTCTGACTGTCTCACCGCTTCTCAGCCTGTAACCCTTTTCACATCACAGCCAGCACATCTGCAATGACAGGTAAATCCCAAGAGCAACCTTTGGGAAGAGCCCTGGGCTGGTGACCAGCTGGGATGACAGCAGCCTGCCTACATGTCCTAGATAGATTAGAGACCCTAAAGAGAAGCTTAGTTAGCCACATGTCTTCTGGGTAGGTGGCATTATATACTAGAGGTCAGAAATAGAAACCAAAAAAAAAAAATGTTTTGTACTAACTCCATACCAAAACAATTATGTCAATAATGCAGGCACAGCTGGGTCACCAGAGGGACTAATTATAAATCTCTATGCCTCTATTTACACAAAAATGAAGGGAAATGTGTAACCACCCCAAACATCATCCAAAGAAGTTACTTGCTAATTTCAGGGATTTTGTTTTCTTCTTCTATATTCCAGTCCTTACCACCCCAGTAATTAACCAAAGCTAAACCTTCTGCACATGCATCGGTTTCTAGGCTGAACTAAATACCACGGCTTATTACGCACAGTAGAGATTCATATGGAAGCATTCCTGTCTACTCCAACCTGGCTTCTTGAAGAAAGGGTGGAATGCCTTGCCCGTAAGCATTAAAGGACTAACAGAAAACAGATAAGAGTTCAGTAGCCAGCAGATGGAAAAGTCTACGCCAGTTACAATTAGTGGAAAGCAGAGAAAAACCTTACACTGCCCAAGAGCAGAAATAACTGATATTTCCCGGTGAAAGAAGGGCGCAACTTCAAATGAGAGCCAGTGAGCTTTACTGTGAAAGACATAGCTGATGGGTTGAGAAACAGCCTACTCAGGTAGCAGTGGGGAAGAGCTCACTGCAGCAGGGATGCATGTGTGTGTTCGTGCAGCGGTAGTAATCATGTCGCTGTGTCAAAACCATAACATAGAGCACCTTCAATATTCCTTTCTTTCCTTATCTGGAAATTATATTTCAAGCTGGAAAAGGAAAACACCAAAGAGGCACTTGTGTTGCTAACGCAGGGTGTACGTGTGGGGGTAGATGTGCCTGCCCGTACTTGAGTGTGTGAAGGCCAGAGGTCAAGGTGAAGGATCTACCAGTCTCTACCTTCTTTCTTTAGATAACAGTCTCTCACGGAACCTGTAGTTTACCATTCCAGCAAGACAACTAGCTAGCTGCTCAGCAAACCTCTGGAATTGGCCTATTTCCACCTGCCCAGTGGTATGGTTACAGGCACAGGCTACCACACTTAGGGTTTTCGTGAGTGCTGGGGTTGTGATCTCAGGTCTTCATGCTCGCTCAGCATCACCTTATCCATTGACCCCGCCACCCCCAAGATGTACCCTCATCTTTGGGGGTTGATATTAAAAATACGTAACGCTCCACAGGTTTGAGTGTCCTTCTTGAGTAGGGGCCATGCTAATCTCTCTGTATCATTCCAACTCTAGTCTATGTGCTGCGGAAGTGAGCACACACAGAAGTGTTGTGGAGATAGCACCCGGAGGACCAGAGCAGGCTCTGCAATACTGTTGCTTCCTGGCCTTTGAATCTGAGCAGAACAAATATAGGAGGGCAAACAGGGTTCCACAGCCCCTGACCCCTTCTAATGTCTCTATTAGCCTCACTGAGGTCAGGTTGGGGGCGGGACGCAGACTGACCAGTGCCTCTGGGGAAAGGTCAAAGGTTAGTGGCATATTCAACATCATTATTTTTCATTATTCCCCATTCAGAGCTACTTTTCCATCATTTTGAGAAAGGGCCCTATAAGTGTTTTCTTTTTTCCGGATTACTCGCTCACCCTGACTTTCTTCTGCATCTTGTTCCCACATCCCCCAGTGTAAAGGAGGACAATAGGTCAGACTAGCTCACAAAGAGGTCCACAAAGAGAAACACTGCAGAGGGCACAGTCAGGTCATACACTCTTGCAACCCTATCTGTGCTTCAACCCTGCTGGTCTCTAGGAGGCACACAAGTCACTGAAGTTAGCAGAGTGATGCCTGGTCATTGTCACCAGAAAACCAGAGGCGAGTCACTGAGCTCGGAGCCTTCTTTTCCTCACCTGGACAAGTATGGGCGGTTATCAAATAGTTTCTGGTTGGCAGAGTTGTGGGAAGATGAAACAGAATCCATGTAATCTGCAAACTGAAGTCTCCCTACCCACAGGCTACTAAGATTATTTTAGAAACTCTTTTTATCTCTTCTTGACGATAAATGTATGGTCACTGTCTAAGATTTGAGATACAGGGAAAAGTTGGACAGAAAGAGTCTTGAGTGATAGCTCCCCAAGTTTGGCCCTGCTGGCCCTGAGGGGCACTGCTCCCTCCTCTGTGTGTAGAGCCATGCACACACATTTCTGGACCACAGCTTAGTCAGAGGACAGCCCTTCATCAACTAGTAACTGGGCCCAGATCTTAAAACCTGCTGCGTCTTCTCCCTAATTTTCACAGCAGTCCCGGGAGATGCTCTGGTCCCCAGTTACAAACCAGGATGCCGAAGTCTAGAAGTCACACAACCAGAGCCTGGGCTCTGCGCTAGAACAGACTCCAAGTGGGAGATCAGTGCTTTCCTGGGTATCTTGTCTGCCCCCACTCTGTCGGTTGGATGCTGCTGCTTCTCCTGTGATACCAGCTGCTCCAGCATTACCTCCTCGTCTCTCCAAGGCCTACCTAACACCAAAGAATCTAAAGGAAGGGAGCTCAGGGGTGACAAGGATGTCACAGCCGCCCACATCATGTTCCTGGCTGTGTCTCAGCTTTTCCACTCCTAGCAGGAGAGTCAGGCCTGAGTGGTCACCTCCTCTCACTTTCTTTCATTGAAGATCTATCAGCCACCGCCTTCTCTCCAAGGTGGGCAGCTGCGTTTCTGACATTCCCTCGCAGAGATAACACAGAGAGGTTCAAACTTTGCCTCTAATGATTCTTGGCCCCCCACATTTTTTTTATCCAATTAGCTTTAAAATAAAACATGAAGTAAAACTTTCTGCTCCACTATTCAACCAGAACAGTGAATTCTCAAGCTGTGGGTTAACCGACTTGGTGTTTATTGAACTGCATCAATGATAAAAGTTCAGGCGCCCACCTCTGGCCCCAGTCCCCATTGTGGGCGGTTATTCACACACAATTGACTTCTAAGATGTTCTCAGGGAACTCCCTCCTGCTGAGGGCCAGTAATGATTCAAAGATAAGAAAGGTTTGTTTTCTCCAAGCCAGTGGCCCAGCAGCATAGGCAAAGTGGGACACAGATTGTTAAAGAAAATCACGTGGACAAGAAGATGGGCTGTTCCCATTTCATCTACACCAGTGCTTCAGACTCTAGTCCGGCACCTGCTCTTAGACTACCCTGTAGCGTCTTTGTATGAAGACAGAGAACTGCAAAGTCCCATTTTACAGAAAAGGAAATGGGTTCAGATTTAGTAAATGGCAAAGTTAGGATTAAAACCAGGAGTCGATTTGAGTAAAGGCTCTCAGTGATGCAGCCGGTGTGTCCACTAAGGTCACGTACCTTGTAGTGCACAACAGAACCTTGATTTGTAATGTATGTACTGCTCCTCAGACTCTGAAGAGGAGCTGAGGCCCACTTGGGGGGACACATGAGGCTCTCTGAATGTCAAGACCCCACCAAGCATTTTCCTGACTGGGCTCTGGATTGTGGGGTACCCAGGATAGTAACTGTTGCCTTGTACATGCTAGCAGGTTGTCTGAGCTCCTCTACCCCTGCTCTGCCTGATTGGGAAAAGGGGTACAGTCATCTTAGGTGGTCCTTGCAGTTTATTTGAAAATGAGACAAGTCTAAAGACCCAGACAGACCCAATAAAGACTGACCCCTGACCCATGTGAGAGAAAGCATTCTCTATAGGCTAAAGAGACAGCGAAGATGTCACAGTTCTAACCTCAGGCACCTGTCACCAGGCCCCAGATGCCATCTACTGGGGTGTTTTATGGTTTCTCTGCATGGCACAGAATCCATTTTTTTTCCATAAAAGCCTTAAGTCTAGCAATCTTTGCCATTCAGACTGGGCCCTGACTCTCCTATGTGGCATAACAGAGTGACATCTCAGGCATGGCTTCGGGAGGAAGCAAGGGGAACGCTGGCTCTCCTACAGCAAGCTGGGAGAAGGTTCCAGGAAAGGATTAAGGAGCTGTAATCATGACCTAGGAGCAGCAAAGGCACGTAATGTCTGCTAACGTTACAGCGCCTTAAACCAAGCTGTTAAATAGTAGCTAAAGGTTACACAGGCCAATCATAACACACGCAGTGTGAACACTAAGGTGCACTTTCCCAACAAATACTTCATTACGTGAAGACTCGGGCTCGATGTCCATTATTTTGCTGGTGTTGTTTTTTAATAGCATCTTTAACGATATCACCGCAATGTAAGTATGAATTCCAGCTTATCCACCCTATTCTTCATTGGGCTCTTATTATATATCAAGCTCAGCACTAGATCTGCAAAGTGGGAACCTTGGTCCAATGCACGCTTAGGACACTGACCAGGTCATAGTGCTCTGACTTTAATGGGGGAATCACTATCCCTGCCAGCTGAAACCATCTGAGGAAAAAAAAAAAAAACAGGAAAAAAAAAAAAAAACCTTACAAAGCCAGGAGAAGAGCCTTTGGATCATGTTTCCTGCTTGGGATGGGAAAACAATTCAACCTTCCCTGAGTAGCAAGGAGAGCACTGCTGGCCTCTCTTCTCCCGGGAGCGAGCAGCAGTTAATTTTGAAAAGCGAGCGCAAAAGTACCCGGGAGGCTTCTTGCAAGCTTTAAAGGCAACTACCACAACACTGTGAGGGGGGAATAAGAAGAGGGGCCACATATTCTCATCCCCAAACCCAAACGAGCCAGTCCACAAGCGAGCAGTACCCACGTGCATTCTTTAGACTACAACACAATGCTGGGCAGGGCTCCAGGAGGCAGACCATCCTGGCCCAGAGAATCCAGCTTTGCACCAAGGAGATGACCGGGAGGTGCAACCGCACAGTACCTCAGGAATTCCCAAGTGGAAGGGATGGGGAGTTAATTATCTCAACTGTGCTCCCTTCAAAAACACACATGCACAACACACACACACACACACACACACACACACACACACACACACACACACACACCCGCGCGCACCTTCAAAACAGAGAAATACCAACTGAGGATTGGGGGATTTTTCCACTTCAGTAACAATTCAGGCTGTCAGGGAAGAGTCCAGAGTGGAGCTTGAGAGTCTGCGGTGTGCCCTTACCAGCTTCATGGTGGAATTATTCTGTTCCCAGCGCCACAGCATCATGCTCATCTTACTTCAGGGTGAGGAGGGAGGGGAAAGAGGAAGGGAAGACGGAAAAAGGGAGCCGAAGCACCTGCCGGCAAAATCCCTGGTCTGGCCCCGGCGCCAGGTCGTCCTCGGTTCTTGGGGCATCCCTGGCAGGCCACGGAGGTCACTTCCCTTAGCCCTGGGGGAACCCAAGGCGGGAACAGAAGCCCCGAGCCCACACTTCTTGAGTGCCGTGCTCCCTCAGCGCGATCCAGTAACTCCCCTGTGCACCAGCGCACAGACGCCCGCCGGAGGCTGGGGCCCCGCGTGGTGATGGTGGTGGTGGGGGCACCGGCCACTGTTGCAGGGCCCGGTGCAGGGGGAAGGTGCAGGGAAAACCTTAGAGCAGCCAGCCCAGCGGGGAGGTCCTTAACTCCTGCGGAGAGGGCGAGGGTAGGCGGGACAGCCTTGGGCAGGAGGGCGGGCTGCGATCCCGAGAGGGGGCTGTGGCTTCCAGGACCTTTCTGGTTCTGAGCCAGGACACCAGCGTGCATCTTTCCCAACACGTGCTCAGTTCCATCTCACTTTCTGCATCAAACTCACCCAAATTGTCCATGGTAACCACTGGCACCCCGAGACAGCTGGAATCTGGATTGTGGTTGTATGATAGATGAAGGCACTCAGGGAGCGCGCGCGCGCACGCGCGCGGGCGCGTGTACACACACACACACACACACACACACACACACACACACACACACCAGCCCACACCTCTGGAGATATTTATTTCCTGCTATGTGAAGGATGGAGCTTGGATGTTTTCAAACACACCTGGCAGCTGCAGGAGAAAGGACATTTGTAGCCTGCCAGGGGAGTAGGGGACAGGCGAGGACACAGCTTTTGATGTTTATTTTCCTCCTCAGTGTCCTCTACCTGCAGGCTGGGTTATGCTTTTTTTTCTCTGAAATTTTGGGGATTGGTACCCCTCCTCCCAGGTGACCCTGGGCATCCGGACCGCAAGCCTAGTAGTATCTGGCTCGGGCAGCAGTATTAGTGGAGGAAAGTAATACTGCCTCCCCAGAACTGACAGAGCTGGGCTAAGATTCTTGGAACTAACCTATTATATGTTATTTCATGTTATTATATGTTCTTTTCAGCAGCCAAAATGTCAAAATGAGAGGAAGTGAGAAGACGGGTCCCAATCTTTTGAAGAATGATTTTTAAAAC